AAATTTAATTAACTGTTATTTTGAAAAATCTGTTATTATTTATTGTTATTTTTAAATGACTCACTACAGACGTAGCTGCATGCAGCAGGCCTAACAATTGAATCCTTCCTTTGCAGAAGCCATTTCCAGAGCCTTGTGTTCTCACCAAACGTACCACTATCTCTGCTGCTGTCAGTTTTGCGGCATAAACAGCCGCAAGTCTCCTTCGTTATATTAAAATAAACTAATTAGTGATCTTTCTTCTGCTTTGGACTACCAGCTTCCGTAATCATTACATAAACAGAAAGGTTAATCTGGGCAAACCTGCCTTTCAAATTATGTCCTTGTGACATCCATGAAGCAGAGCGGTCGCTTTTTAAAAGAGCTGTTCAGGTTTTCATGGTTGTTGATAGTTAGCCTTTTTCTCCTGATTTAAAAAGTACTAAAATGATTTAGATATAAAAGTAGTAATTGAAGCCATTTATTAAAACCTCTTGTTGAGTTTTTTTACATTTAGTGATGGTTAGGAGGGAGGTTATATAGGACAATTCTCTTTAATAAAACTGGCAATGGTGCGGTTATTCATAAACAGATCGTACAAACTAAATGAAAATAAGGATTTTAAAAGAGATAAAAGCTGTGTAAACAACAAGGCTAGATTGAAGGTTATGTATTCATTATGCTTTGAGGAGGATAATTTGAAAGATAAAATATTTTTAGGGCTAAATCTTTGAAGGTGCAGGAAATTGTTTAATATTACGGTCCAGAAGTTTCCATGAAAAGCAGGCGCCATCTACTTACTAACTAGCCGTCTGGTAGGTTTTCCTGTCCTACCATAACAGAGGTTGGAATGTGTAGGATCTTTATCTTAGGGGAGTGTGACCTAGTGGTTAGGGCATTGCTCTTGGAATCCCGAGGTTCTGAATTCGAGCCCCACTACCACAGACTGCCACTCTGGGTCCCTGAGCAACAGACCCTTAACCTCTTACACCCGAAGGGGGTATAAATAAATTTCTGCCTGACAAAAACACACAAAAGTATATCACTTATAGCCTCACAGCTATTAGATTTAAGAAGAAACTTTTGGTACGTCTGTAAAGGTAAGATGTCAGCACCATTGTAGCTTTGACCCTGCCTGAAATATTAGGGACAAAATACAAAATATTTAGCATTTTTTGAACCTCGCCAAAATTTTCTTTGAAATAAACATTGCAAAACACTACCAAAATATTATTTATAGCACAAAAAAGTAGTACAGACTTTTAAATCTAAATGTTGTGTAAAAATATACCAAATTTGGACTCAATCAGATGAATCATATTTATTTTAGAATGGTATTAGTGAGAAATTTCTTAGGCGGAGAGGCCATTTTGGCACATTTATCCATAAATGTCACCAAACTGTGCCAAATGTGTTTTTTACATCAATACTGGGGGTTTGTTAAAATTACGAGGTCACGTAGCAGCTGGACCCACCGGTGGGTCCGTAGGGTTCTAGGGGTTAAGGGCTGGTTATACTCCAGCAGAAGTGTGTCGCAGTGAGCTTGTCGCAGATATTTTTGATGTATGCCCAATTTTGAAGTGTGGTCTGCGCTATGTTATTTCACGAACCAGCTGTGGGTCTAGATACAGCCGAGGCGGTGAGGAAGTGGCGGCAAGTTAGTGCGACAACGGAGGGACATGAGGCCGAAAAAGATTGGGGATCCAGGTGGAAAAAGGGTCCCAACATTCTCACGCACCTCGCTCTTCTAGCTGGCCGATTTTCCACAATGGCGGTCATTAAAACAAAACAAGCCGGTAAGGTACCAAACAGGAAATATACATAGTGTAGAGCAGATGTAGATTTGACCAATCAGAGGCCTCCTGTCTTCAGTCACCTACAATTTTGGAGAAGTGCAGCAGAGTGTCTGCAGACACTCGGGGGCACATTTGCATTCACTGTGACACATGCAGACGACCCGGTTTCTGAGTATAAATCACCCCACACTGCTCCCCGGGCGCCGCACCTCCGCAGCCCACTGCTGCCTATAAGGATGTGCAAAATAATCGTCATGACGATGCATCGATTCTTGAAGGCAAGAATCGATTATAAAAAAAAAAAAATGAACAAATAAAATACATTAATGGTTTGCGCACATCAGCCAAACCAAGTGTAATACAACTTCCAGTCCAGCAGATGTCGCTGTGGATGTGTTGACGCCCGCTGCTTTGTGTCACAAGCATTTCCGGCTGTGGGATACTGTGACGAGTCATATGAAATAAAACATGGAGGACACTATGAAAATTCGCCCCCGCGGTTCCATCACATTTCGTGATTCGAATCGAATCGTGACTTCTTTGCCAATACCCACCCCTAGCTGCCTAAGGGAAAGGGTTGAATGCAGAGAGTTCATTTCGTCGCTTTGTACTTCTGACAGTGTAATGACAATAAAAGCTGGAAAACTTTTTTTTGTAGGGTGAGCTTCCCTGGAACACTCTGGGTGGGTTTCTTGTGAAATACAGGGTGAATATTTGGAAAAGTACCTCATGCTGACTGTTGACTATTATGGAGGATCTGTCTTGCTTTGGATCTTTTTCCTCTTCTAGTTTCCTTGGAAACCTTTTAGAGCTCTGATGATAGTTTTAGAAGAAAAACAAGAATTGAACAGGATCTTTGTCATCAGAACAGATACATCAGAAACAGACGGCGTGAGTGTCGTACCTTATGTTTAGCTTTTTGTTTGGCAGAGTAAAGTAGGTTATGTTGAGTTTTTTCTGTCTGATTCTGTTTATCACACTCTGCTGAGGATTTACACTAAATAGAAATAAAACAAACTGATGTTCAAGGTAGAAAACCTCTTAGTGGAGTCAGTCAGCATTTGAAAAATTTGTTTGGTTATTAGGTCTATTGCTGATTAAATAGTTAAGCCTGGAAATAGCTTTTGTGAATCTAAATGAGACCAGGAAATGAATACTAATGGTTCACCGTTAAACTCATTAGAACCAAAATTGTAATTCCGATTAATTGGACCTTTTTTTATAAAACTGCAGATGTGACAAAATTGTTGTGATTAAGTGATAATTGGATAGAGAAGCCGGGCTCCTGGCGTTGGATAATGTTTATTTTAGATTGTTTTTTTCTTTGGAGTCAGATCCTTGTGATTATGGTATGGACCCGTTCCTGCCTGTCTTCCTCTGATGGAGAACATGTCCTGCAGCGCTAAATTCTGTTGATGGATGGTAATGTACCTGACTTGCTGCCCTGTGGCTATTTCCTTTACACTCATCCCCTGTAGATCATCTTACATAGATGGATGAAGAGTGTAATGAATTCATGAGGAGACAAAGCAGATAAAAAAGGGATAGAATACGAGAAACGGAGATAAAAGCGCTCAGAGCAGAGGCAGGGGAGTTAATAAAACGTAGATATCGGCTTCTTCCTGTAGTTTCTACAACACCTCCTTTAACTTGGCTTCTCTCCACTGTTTGTGGTTTCTAATTAGAGAAAAAAGATGGGTCCTTTGGGGTTTTAATCAATAAATCTATACCTTCACATGCTGACTGTTTTTGAGGTAAAACTTTCACATTCATTATCAGACAACAAACCTACATCTTCTTAAGTGATAATTATGCATGTTGAAACTGAACTAATCCTTCAGGCTTTGTGTTTTTTCTTTGTTGCATCGAAGCAGTATTTCAGATTCAATGTTGTGCAGAAACAGAAAATAATCTAAGTTATAATAAGGTTGTTATGAATGATGAATTGTTAATGCAGAAAACTACAAATATGTTCTTTAGCATTTAGGACAGAGGTTGTTACTTTATAAAAATACATTTCATTGCTCTTTATAAAACATAAAAACTCTGTTTTAATTCAGTAATTAGACTTTAAAACAGTTAATGTAAAGATAATGTTTAAAACGATCACTAAATGATTTAAAAAATAACTTCATCCCTTGTGGAACTTTGATTTACAACAATTGAAAAGGTACTTTTTAACTTATTAAATCCATATATAAGAAATAATTCTAATTTTGAAAATATGAATAGAAAAAATGTACAATAGCAAAGAACAGAAATCATGAAAATAAAATGAAAGATGAGATTTAGCTGATATTTTATTATTATAAGTTACTGAAAGATCCAATAAATTCGTTTGATTAATTCAAAATAAATTTAGGTAATTTTGATTTGTTTGTATTAATAGCTGTCTGGTGCATAATCCCTATCCTGAGCTTCACATCTCTTTCCAATAGTTTTCTTTATTATGTCAGTGATTGAGAGACATTAACACAGATATACTAAAGAAAGATCATTAACCCTGAAGGTTTATTTAGAACGAACAGCTTTTTTAAGGATTGATGTTTTCATATGGTGAAAGAAACCAGACTGCAAAGAGAAAATCCCCTCATTTGTACTTCGCTCAGAACAGATCTAGCCAAGGATTTAACTTCCCACTGACTGCCTGCAAGGCAACTGTCCCAATAACTGCTTCATCGTGCAGCCCGCCCCATTTGAATGAATGAATGAATCTGTAATTCTTTGTTTTTTCTGCCTCTTGTGGTTTTCAAGTTGTAAAAAATCTAAATCTAGATAAGTAATTTTTTCTTCAAAGAAGAGCATTTGTTCTTAGTTTGAGAAGGTAAAAGATACATTTTGCCAAGAACAAGACAATTTACATTTAAAATAAGAAAACACAATTGCATTGTCATATTTCCAGTGCATTTTATCTAAATATATTATTTTAAGAAAAAAAACTACTCATTCCATTGACAAATCATTTCATTTACCTACTCAAATAAAGGGTAAATACACTTAATTTAAGACATTTTTACTTACTTCTAGATCGTTTTTCCAGTGTGTGTTTGTTGCTCCGTTATCTCTGGATAGATTTATAATCTTAAGCACATTTCTTTAAATCTTGATGTATTCAAACTGTTCATTTTCTGTTATTTTATTTTATTTTTTTATGGTCTAGATTTCTGTATTTATTCTCCCTATGTATTATTCTCAGTTTATCCTGGTTTGCCTTGTATGTTGCAGGTCACAGGACTGAGTGTGTCCCCTGGGAAGGATCAGCTGGTCGTGTTTCACACCAAGGACAACCGGGATCTCATAGTGTGCCTGCAGGGCATGGTGCCTGCCAATGAGAGCCGCATCGGGGAGCTGGTTGGCACCCTGCTCAGTCATTTCAAGAGGTTAGTAATTGTAGGTGGCAGAGTGGTTACAAGTGGGTAAAAAGCAGGATTCAATTATTGTGTCCTAAAATAAAAAAGAAAAGAAAAAAATCTTGTGGGTGAAAGCAGGTCAAGCTAGATGTTTATTCTCATCTCTCACTGCACAACATTAAGCTCACTGTCCCCATTTAAACCTAGTTTAACTTGATTGGCAGCAGCAATGCAGCAGGAGGTTTGGCTCACAAACTTAAAGCATTCTCTGTTTGTTCCCCAAATGATAGTGAGTAGTGTTGTGGCTCGTGTGTGATGTTGACTGAGGTGACCTCGGCGGCAGGATTATGGGGCAGGGAGAGGACACAGTCACAGCTGTCCTCTGTTAGACTGTAATGTTCACTTTACGCGCGCTCTGACTGCTCTGTTCAGGACACCAGTATAAACAGGATGGATTTAATTATTGTCTTTAGCTGAAGGGAGAAGTAAACAATCATATTTTCATCCCTATTAAAGGAGTTGTCATAGTAACACATTTGACAGTTAAGGATGCAAGATACCTGCATTGAAGCATTCCTCCTTTGAAGAAAAGCATGCCTCTAGCATGATGCTGACACCAGCATGTTTCATTATAGGGAAACTGTAATCCCTCCATGCATAGAGCTCCACGCGTTTTCCCTTGACTTCCATAAAGGCCATTTGTGGATGGAGTGCATGGCTTATAGCTCTGCTGTTGACTTACGATTAGAGCTGAGCTGTGGATCTTTGCGAAGGACTTACAGCGATCCTACTGGCTGCTTTTCTTAGAATCGTAGCATCGTATTAACAGATGTGATCAGTCGACCCTGCTCCAACATGTTTCTGCTTGCATCCATTATATCTTATATCTGTGTTTTTCAACACTTTTGCTGCCTTTGAGTCATGCTCATGAAACAAAAACATATTCATCTCGAAAAATGGTACAAATTCAATTTGACAATGAAGCTGATACCCATGGAGACACGATGCATCTGCTCTAATATCTAAATTGGCCGATTTTGGTAATTTTTGAACATATTAGTGTCTGATAACTAAAACTGATGTTTTTCTGATAAGCAATGGTTTTTGTTTTAGCAGGGGGGTGGTTAATGTTGTATTTGTTTAGTCAGGTTAGTCCTGTCATGATAGCAAATGTAGCTATAATATAAAACTCTCCCAGAAATGTTTGTGATAAACGATAATATTGTCCTTTAGTTTTAATCCAAAGTGCTCCCACAATGCAGCTGTCGTGTTCGGCTTTAAACCGACGCCGGCTTTACTCTGGCTTACTCCTCCTCAGTCAGAAGTCTCCCATGCTACGTTAATGAAGCTGAAAGGGGAGGGCAGAGACCAATTTACTGGAGTAAAGCCTAAATCTATAGTAGAAAGAGGGAAATGTGAGGAAAAAAATCTGTCATATAATTAGTTACTATCATGCGATTGGTTGATTTAGTGTTTATTGTGACAGGCCTAGGTCAGTCACTGATACAGCTGAGGATTGTGGGTGGTTAACTGAGGCAAATCAACAATGTCAGGTTGGCTTTTTCTGGTCTCCAAAGGGTGGGAATTATATTATTTTTGCTGAGACTCTCCGGTCTGTTTAAGACCTATTAAAGCACAAGAGGCAGGAGTTTACAACTGTGCCAGAATTACCCATAATGCAACACCCTTTTTCTGTATTAGCAGTCAAGATTGCAGAATGCAACGAAGCCGTGTTTTAATGTTGACTTCTATTATGTCCTGATGAGCTGGATATATCTTAAACATTTGAGCAACTAGCTTCTGTAAGAGCTTTGATTCTTTTTTTAAAGGATGTTCTTGCATCACATCCTTAGTTATCTGATTGGGTTTAACCTGTTTCCTCTGTCTCCATTAGTCCTGCCCTGATCCCACCTTTAAAATTGACTGATTTATAGCGAACACAGCATAACTTAGCATGATTGGCCAGGCTGTCCACACCTGCAGTCATCGGCCATAACGACAATATTCATATCAGTAAGATTTTCATCATAAATCCCTAATTATGCCCTGAAAATCTGCTGTGGTGTGTGAAAATTAGCTGCTTAGCCTTTCTATGTTTATAGTGAACAACAACAGTGCACATCACTGGGCAGTTTTACCAATTTTGGATACTTTGTGTTGTAAAAACCAAAAAAAAAGGTTTATAAGAGGGCCTCCCACAGACTACATTTAATATATTAATAATGCTGATAGATAATGTAAAATTTTACCAATATTTCTCATTGGTTGCTTTCTCATGGTTCAGTTAAACCAGAGGATTTCCATGGTTGGATGAAAAATATGACTTATGTTACCATATTTATTCACTTTGTTCTTGTGTGAATGGTTAAAAAATGGTGAAAAGACAAAAACAAAACTGGATTACGAATGGATTTTATGCTCCTAGATTGTTTGCAGATTGAATAATTTAGTTTTTATGTAAACAGGGACAGCTGTGTGTTTAACTTAATGAAAAGCCTTCTATATAATATCAGGTGACCTTTCAGTCGTTTCTTTGCAGAACAGATAAGTTCTCTGACCTGACCGAACCTTTATCCCTGCTTTAACTCAGAGCTTTATTATATTATTGAGACTGAATTTAAGAAAAAGCAGATTTAAAGTCATTTGAAGTCTCCTTACAGTAGCCTTGGTATTCGACACAGTGTGATTTCATTTAGACATTAGCACTAATAGAAAGGAAGCAGAATTGGATTGTAGAGTTAGCTGTAATCAGCAGAACCTCAATCATGAGCAAAACTGTTTTTAAATATCTCTCTAAACGGTTCTGGAATGTTTTTTATCCTGTTATATTGAAAAAATTTTATTAAAATCTTCACCTCATCCACATTTAAAAGTTTCAAACAAAAAAACAGACCCACTGTCATTGTAAAAAAAAAACAATATTTCAACTCTATAAATAAAAAAGTTTATAGTTTAGAAAAAATGAATAACCTTTAAAACTTTAAACAAACTAACAAGAAAAATTAGATGCAAATATTTTTATAGTAAATTTAACAGGGAACACTGATTGAATTAATAGACAGATAACAACAGTCCACTTTTGGATCATTCCTCTTGTGCCAATTTGGAGATCAGACTCTAATGACTGACAGGTCAGTCTTTCTAACAGCTCTAGCTCTAATTTACCCCAAAGGTGTCGTCTGTCTGATGAGGTCAGGACTCCCTGCGCATTAGGTCAAATTCCCTCACATCAGACTTTCTCATCCATGTCATCATTATCCTGGACCTTTGCTTTGTCCTTTTGGAACAGGAAGGGAGCATCCCCAAACTGCTCCCACAGATTTATGAGCATAAAATTACAGAAAATGTTTTTTGTTTTTGTTTTGTTTTTTCTCAATAAATAATTGAAGTTACCTTTAATTTAAAAATAAGGGTTTCAAGCAAAACCCTTTCTTATATCCTCTCAGGTTTTAAACGTGACATATTCAGGGTTCCAGCAGGTCCTTAAAAAGTCTTAAAAGGCATTGAATTCTTTAAAATAATTAAGGCCTTAATTGGTATTAAAATGTCTTAAATCAGTTTTTCGTAGGTCTTAATTTTTAAAACATCATAAATAGGATTATTTTTATTAAGATTTATTTTGTAATCTAAATAAAACATTAAAATTGACATTTTTTTTTTCTTTTTATAAAAAAAAAAATTAATGGCTCGCCATTATTGCTTCCGTCCCAATAGCGGAACCAATAAAATCGTTGTTGCGGCCGGGACATTTGGGAGATGCACCATTAACTTTTTGTCTGGAAAATATGAGAAAGTCTAAATGTAACGAAAATTGGTTATCCAGCCAAGAGTTTTCTCCATGGCTAAAACCAGGGAACATACATGTGGCACAGTGTATTTTGTGCAAGAAGCGATTCATGCTCGGAACGATGGGGATCAAGGCAGTGGAGTCGCACATGCAAAGCACGAAACACAAAGCGTCAAAATCGAGTAACCGAGAAACAGCCGGTATTTCTCAGTTTAGTTCCACCCTTGTCTCTGCAACGCCTCCACT